GGTGTAGCTCTTCATTTAGTTCTATCTTCTTTGATTGTTTCCAACAGCATTTTGTAGTTCTCAGAATGCAAATGCTGCAATATTTTGTTAGGATTATACCTAAGGACTTCAATTTCAGGTGCTACTGTAAATGGTGCGGATTTCCTAATCTAAAATTCCAACTATTCATTTCAGATATATAGGAAAAAATGGACTTTCTTCATATTTTGTGACCTTGCTAACCTCATTTATTAGTTCTGGGAGCCTTTCTGGAGACCCTGTGGAATTTTCTGCAAAATCATATCCTCTGCAAATATAAGGTATTTTTTCCTTATTTTCCAATCTGTATCCCTTTTATTTCTTTTTCTTATCTTCCTGCATTGTCTAAAACTCCCAGTATGATGTTAAAGGAATGTTAAGAGAGGGCAACCTTGTTTCTGAATTTAGGGGAAAATATTCAGTCTTTCACCATTAAGTATAAAGTGTTAGCTGTAGGTTTTCAAAGACGCTCTTCATTAGATTGATAAAGTTCCCTTCTACCTCAATTTTACTAAGAATGTTTATCAAGAATAGAGTTTGATTTTGTTAGATACTTGTTCTGTGCTTACTGAAATGACATACAGAAGAAATATGCTTTTTCTTATTTAACCCATCAGTAAGATGAACTTATATTACATTTCTAGAAGGAGACCACTTGATTATGATATACTTTCATTTTTATAAATGGATGGATTTGATTTGCTAGTGTGTTGTTGAGGATTTCTGCATATATGTTCATGACGGATTCTGGTCTGTATTTTTCTTTTCTTTTAATGTCATTGTCTGACTGATATTAGGGAAAATACTGATCTCATTAAAAGGTTTTCCTTTTACTTTCTGTCTGGTAAGACAGAAATCTTCTTAAAGATTTGGTGGAATTCACCAGAGAAACCATCCGGGTCTGGTGTTTTCTTTTATGTAAGATTCTTAACTTCAAATTCAATTTCTTTAATAGATATGCAACTGTTGCGATTATCAATTTCTTCTTGAGTTAGTTTTGGTACTTTATGTCTTTCAAAAAATTCTTGAAAGTTATGTCTTTCATAAAATTTCAAATAGTTTTAACATCAATATAAACACAAGACAGGATTAGCAGATTAGAGGACATTTCTAATGAAAGTATCCAAATTAGAGAGGAAAAAAAAGGAATTAAAAATATCTAAAAAAAGCACAAGATACATATGAGTCTAAAAATCTAAAAAATCTTCTTTTTTTTTTTAAAGATCTTATTTATTTATTTGACAGACAGAGATCATAAGTAGGCAAGAAGCAGGCAGAGAGAGAGAGGAGGAAGCTGGCTCCCTGCTGAGCAGAGAGCCCAATGTGGGGCTTGATCCCAGGACCCTGGGATCATGACCTGAGCCGAAGGCAGAGGCTTTAACCCACTGAGCCACCCAGGCGCCCCTAAAAAATCTTCTATAAGTCTAAACATCTAATGTAAGTATAACTGGGAGTTCCAGAAAAACAGATAATGGGGCATAAGAACGCGTTAAAGAAAGAATGGCTACGGGTTTTCCAAAACTAATGGAAAATATCAACCTACAAATTTAGGAAGCTCTGAAAACTTAACATAGAATCAATCCAAGAATACCAAATGTAGGTATATAATAGTAAAATTACTAGACACAAAGTTGAGGAGTAAATCTTAAATACAACAGAGAGGGGAAAAATTCCCATATTACCTCAAAGGTGTAATAGCTTACTTTCTAAGACATACAAAAAAAAGCGAGAAGACAGTGGAATAGCTTCTTTAAAACACCAAAGAAAATAACTACCAACCAACCAACTACCAACCAACCAACCATTCATCTATATCCAATAAAATCAACCCCCATAAAATTAAAACCAAGATGTTTTCAAACAAAATCAGAATTCATAGCCAGGAGAATATCATAAAAGAAGTATTAAAGGCAGAAGGAAAATGACTGTAGAATCCATATGGGAACATGGAATTGCAGGAAAGAAAGAAGAATAATAGAAAGCCTAAATAAGGGGCTAACTTGAATAAACATTACTATATAAATAAAATTAATTTCTTGTGTGTTTTATATATGTAGACTTAAAATACATGACAAAAATATGCAAAAAAGAGGGCAGGTTAAAAAGGTTAGATATTTTAGGGCCCCATTATAAGGGAGAGGTCAATGAAAAAATAATTTGTCATGTATACATGTTGAAATCTGTAGAGCAACCAGTAACAGAAAAGTTAAAAATAAATAACAAATAAAAAGGAAAGTAAGTTATAAAAAATACTAATCCAAACCAAAGCCACATCAATTTATATAAAAGTTCAAGATTTTAATTCTTCAAAAAAACCTTGTGCTACTACTCACAAGATATGCACTTCAAATATATTGATAAAAACAAAAAGTGGAAAAATATATACCATGCCAAGACTAGCCAAAAGAAAGACTAGCCAAAAGAAAGCCATTGTAACTCTACAGTATCAGATCAAATGTACTGTCACACAGGAATATTGCTAGAAAGGAAGAGATGAAGGACCTTCATAACAAAAGGTTCATATCACAGTCTGAAATCTGTATCCCAGGAATGACATAGCTCCAAATATATAAAATTAACATAACTAGAAAGAAATATATATTTTTTAAAGATTATTTATTTAGGGGCGCCTGGGTGGCTCAGTGGGTTAAGCCACTGCCTTCGGCTCAGGTCATGATCTCAGAGTCCTGGGATCGAGCCCCGCATCGGGCTCTCTGCTCTCTAGGGGAGCCTGCTTCCTCCTCTCTCTCTGCCTGCCTCTCTGCCTGCTTGTGATCTGTCAAATAAATAAATAAAATCTTTAAAAAAAAAAAAAAAAATTAAAAAAAAAAAAAAAGATTATTTATTTATTTGACAGAAAGAGATCACAAGTAGTCAGAGAGGCAGGCAGAGAGAGAAGGGGAAGCAGGCTCCCCGCTGAGCAGAGAGCCCGATGCAGGGTTCGATCCCAGGACCCTGAGATCATGACCTGAGCCAAAGTCAGAGGCTTAACCCACTGAGCCACCCAGGCGCCCCTAGAAAGAAATCTTCGTTGGGACTTGATACCTATCTATCATATACAGAAAAAATAATTTTCATCAGATCATATATTTAAATGGGAAAGAAAGCCTTTAGAGGAAAACATAGGAGAAAGTCTTAAAGTACACAAAATTTCTAAAAATGTTAACAAAAAACCATAATGAATTGAATTCATTAGGATATAGAATTTTACATCAAAGACGTCATTAAGAGAATAAAAAGGCAAGGCACAGAGTGAGAAAAGACAATTAAAAAACATACAATTAAAAATTCATGTCAAGGATCTATATGGAACTCAACAAAAAAACCAAAAGGAGACAATTCAGTACAAAAATTGGCAAATGACTTGAACAAGTACTCACAAAAGAGAATAGCAAAAGGCCAATAAGTATACCCATTAGTCATCAGGAAATAGCAAACTGGAACCATCATATGACAAACTACTTCTTACCAAAAGGCCAAAATGAAAACACACACAGGCACACGCACACACACACACACACACACACACACACACACCCCAATCAAGTAACGGTAAGGATGTGGAGCAAGTATAACTCTCACACCCAGGTTGTTAAAATCACTTGAAAAATTCTGTGACAGCACCTTCTAAAGCTGCATGTACACATACCCTATGACTGGGCAATTGCAAATGGGAAGAATACATACACACCCAAATAACAATACATACATACCTCAATAAGAAGAATACAATGATACCCAAATTATGCATAAAATGCTTATAGCAGGTCTATAATAGCCCAAACCAGAAACAACCCAAATGTCCATCAACAGAGGAATAAATAAGTTAGCAGTAGTATTTTCATAATAAAATACAATATAGCAGCAAAAGTGAAGAACTATTGCTAAATATAATGTCTGTAGTACAAAAAGTCTGAATTGTGAAGTCAAAGTGAAACAAGTCAGAGAAAAAAGTAGATACTGTAGGATTTCATTTATATAAAGATTAAAACACACGACACTAATCTTGCTATTAAAAGTTAGGAGAATGTTTATCCTTGGAGTGAAAGTAGCTGAGAGAGAAGAGAAGTTTCTGCAGAGCTGATTTTTTTTTTCTTGACTTGGGAGATGGTTTACACAGAAGTGTGCTGATTTTATTGCAATTCATAAAGTTGTTACTTATGATTTGTATCTTTTCCATATGTATACTGTACTTTGAAAACAAGCTTAATTTAAAAACAGTATGCATATAGAAACTTAAAACTGTACAAACTGATGGAATGTCACATAATCCAGTCACATCATCAGGACCAAGCCTAGTACCCAACATGACACTCATGATAAATGATTGTTTCTTAAACTACTGAATGAAACAAACAAACAAAAAAATCAAACACAAAAAGAATATACTGTAATTATTCCCCAGCTGTCCTTCATAAATGTTTATTTGCCTTACCTCAGAAAATATTCTCATATTGACGTTCTCTAGTATTAAACCCAGTAAACCTGACCTGCTCTTTTCCTCTTTTAAATTTTTAATTAACACAAAAATCAGTTCAGAAACTGCTTCAAAATAATTATATCTCACCCCATGTCCCCTTGTTCTACCATTTAGAATAAAAACTATTTGTGGGAACTGGAATTTTTACTAGGCCACAAAACAAGTCTTTGTTTGAAGGCTATGAAATAATTATTATAAAGTCACTACTTACTATGAGATAATTATTAGTAACATTGTTTAGAGTTCAGATGATGTCAAACATTTCGCATAATGACTCAGGTCAAGCAGGAAGCTAGAGATTTTGCCTTTAGCAAAACCCCTGACTTCTGTCAAATGGAGGTTGTATCTTTTTTTCTTCTCTTTCCAGTGATTAACTATTACAAGCTTTAAGCATCTTCACTGGTTTTCTTGCCCAATTAGAAAAGGCCTTCAAGAGAAAATTTTAGAAACTAACATATAAATGTCTTTGATGAGCCTGATGTGATTTCAAGACATTTTTTACCCGGTCATGGATCTCATCGCAGTTTGAAGGTGAACACCAATCAGAATGGAATCTGTGGGCATAAAAAACAAAGGTGACTTGTAGCCAGAGGGAGAGAAAAATTAATCTTTTCAAATGCCAGACACAGAAAGTCATTTTCCCCTTATCCTTGTGTGATAACACGGAAAGATTAAAATGGCATATTTTCTTCATTGACCAAGGATGAGAGGCAGATGTAAAATCAGGTACTGGTTCTCTGCAGTAGTATTGAGTCTTCATAATACATGTAATAGTCTTAATAAAGTTTGGTGTGAATCAGAGAGAGCATACCTATATATCTGACCATTTTAATGATTTCCTTACATAAGTCTTCAGAATTTATCAATAAATAAAGATACAGATGTTCAGATTAGAACAATAATTCCATGTATAGTGCCTTTAAAATTAGTTCTTATTTATTTATAATCCCATTCTCTTAAATTATGTGGGAAAAATTCCTTTCTGTATACAGAAAAATAAAACTAGTTTTATGAAATGAAGCAAAATGTTTAAATAGATGAAAATATTTAGAATCCAAACATGTTCTTACTCTCTCATAATACAGAGGAACATAAAAATCGAATAATCCCCTCTCAGCACAGATATCACTCCCTTAGTCTCTTCTGTGTGTGTGTGTGTGTGTGTGTGTTTAAAGTGAATACTGAAAAACAGGAAAGGAAAATGTGGCTTTTATTAAAATCTGAGTTTTGGAATTACAGAAGAAATAAAGTAACCATTCTTCTTTCTAATGTCCTTCCCAAACTCAAAACTGGCATTTGTTTAACTAAGCTAGTTTATATTTACCTTATAAAAGGAATAATGAATATGTATATCTCCAGGTCCACCTGATTATAATTCATCTATATCAAATGTTATTGATAATTCCTTCATAAAGGAATGGGTACTAAAATGCTAAGTGCTTACATCTTTGCCTTTTTTTCTCCCAGCTTGTTCTTGCAAAGTTATAAATTTATATGTTTATACAAAGTATAAACTATTAAGCAGGAAAAATGATTTATATAATCTGTTTCAAAGAACGCTATCAATAATGGATGATCAACTATATCTAAATTTTAATATCCTACATTTGTAAAAGGAAGTGTTACTGCATCTACACAAATATATTGTCTGACTTAGTTATTTGCTACATATGTAACCCATTTTGAAAATCTGAGATCCAAATATGCAGTTCCAAGAGGATCCCTTCAGTATACTATTCGAGGATCCACTAGTCTGTGCTGTGGTATAAGAAATGACTACCTAACTATATTTAACTTCATTTACAAAATTCAAAACCATAAGCATGATTAAAAGGAATATCAGCTTCTTTTTAATTAGATTTGCTAGTATTTCTAAGTCTGATTTTAGTAATAACTCTACAGCCTAATACAAATGATAAACCATAATATTAATATTTATACTTGGAGGAGAACACTGTTTCTGAAATGTAACACTTATAATAAAAATTGCAACCATTTTATGTGTGTTAACTCTATTGGAGATATTTTTTTAAATGGGCTTAAAGCAAAAAGCACCTTCACTATAAATAAATTCATTTGCTTACAGTCACTAATAGAGTTTTTGAAAGTCTGTTTATTCACATACATGATTAAGGAGTCAACATTTTACAGTAATCTTAGAGGAAAACTTATTTCATCTTAATGAATAATTACCAAGATAATCTCCTATAGCTATATATTCTGTCACACTCCTAATTTTGCTGGGGATGTACAATCTACTTAAAATTGTGTACTGATTCCACTGGATTTTATAAACACCCTGTAAGTATACTGCTCAGTGACCTAAAAAGCCATATCAAGAACGTCTTATATTTAAAGGTGTGGTACTGTGTGTGCTAAAAAGGATCAAATGTTTTTCTTCCTAGTAATATGTCCTATAGACATTTTAATTTCTTTGATGAGTAAATCTGAATCTTTTTTGGAACATACTCTCAAAGTAGAGGTGTTCTACTTTAGTGCAAGTAGAAAAGTTTATCCATCCTAAGGCATATCCCAATATAAATTTATTAACTTATTTAGATGAATTTAAAACTAAAATGTCATTATATTCTTTTATTTTAGACGCACCTCAACCTTCCTCAAGTGATAGGTGAAATGGTCATTTTTTTTTTTTTTGGTTTTATTTATTTATTTATTTATTTTAATCATTTTTTAAAATTTATTTTTAGCATAACAGTATTCATTGTTTTTGTACCACAACCAGTGTTCCATGCAGTCCGTGCCCTCTCTAATACCCACCACCTGGTTCCCCCAACCTCCCACCCCCCCCACCTCTTCAGACCCTTCAGATTGTTTTTCAGAGTTCATAGTCTCTCATGTTTCACCTCCCCTTCCAATTTCCCCCAACTGCCTTCTCCTAACTCCCCATGTCCTCCATGCTATTTGTTATGCTCCACAAATAAGTGAAACCATATTATAATTGACTCTCTCTGCTTGACTTATTTCACTCAGCATAATCTCTTCCAGTCCCGTCCATGTTGCTACAAAAGTTGGGTATTCATCCTTTCTGATGGAGGCATAATACTCCATAGTGTATGTGGACCACATCTTCCTTATCCATTCGTCCGTTGAAGGGCATCTTGGTTCTTTCCACAGTTTGGCGACTGTGGCCATTGCTGCTATAAACATTGGGGTACAGATGGCCCTTCTTTTCACTACATCTGTATCTTTGGGGTAAATACCCAGTAGTGCAATAGCAGGGTCATAGGGAAGTTCTATTTTTAATTCTTGAGGAATCTCCACACTGTTCTCCAAAGAGGCTGCACCAACTTGCATTCCCACCAACAGTGTAAGAGGGTTCCCCTTTCTCCATATCCCCTCCAACACATGTTGTTTCCTGTCTTGCTAATTTTGGCCATTCTAACTGGTGTAAGGTGATATCTCAATGTGGTTTTAAAATTAAAACCACATTGAAATGGTCATGTTTAAGATTAGAGCTATTCATTTCCTTCTAGAAAAGAACTATATCTATTACCAACCATCATGATAAATGTACAAATGCCGCTCATTACTAGAAGCCATCACCTCCACTGGAATATGAAAAAGGGACAGTTGACTTTAGCTCACCTCAGCGAAGACTTTTTGAGTATAGCCTCAATGAAGAATTTATCAAATTGGGAAGACAGGCTTCAAAAGCTGGGACAAAATTACAGGTAAGAATAAAATAACATGGGACTAAAATTCATATTGTACTACAGTGGTAGACAACTGGAGAACTGTGCAAAATAGAAAAATAAAACAATGTTTATAAAAACATATCCAAGGAGATATGAGTAAAAATTTCTTGAAAATCTACAGAGATGGCAAAGAACCTAATGAATAAAATCACAAGTGCTTAATTCTAAAAGTACAGAAAAAGAGAGTAGCACTGACCGCACATCTGAACAGACATGGAAATTAAAGTCCCCTGACAACTGAGACACAAGTTACCAGACTTCAGCAGGAAAATCTCTCTTCAAAAGTCTCTCTTGAACTTTAAAGCCTACAGAAACATAAATACGTATCTCTCTCTGTAAATACAAAGATGCATCTTTTAATCTATCTGTCCTATCTATGAACTCCATAATACCTCAGGCAGGATTCTATTGGCCTAGAAGCAACATTAATCAAAATTCCCCATTTCAGGGTTAGGGTCTCCAGCAGACCTCCAAACATCCATCTGAATGCTTACAGGGCAAATGAGGAAAACAGACAAATCTATCTCTTCAGAAGAGAGATGCTTTAATACAGCTTCCAAACTGATACACTCTTGCTCAGATCATCAGTTTTGAGATGAACTTTCTGACAGACTATACATTTAGTTTGAATTTTGTCAATTATGTCCGACAGTTGTAACAAGCCGTACAAATTTAGTGTGTTACATTAGCTTTTTTACACCATCTGTAAAGATAGATTTTATTTCCATTTGTTGATAGCATTTCTCTTAGGTGTTCAAATTTCTATAAAATTTTTTAACTATCTAGGGTTTTGTTTTTTTTTAATTTATGACGACTCTGTTTTCTATGTTACTATTAGTGAGTGAGGCAAGGAATTTCCAACTTGAATTTAACAATGACAAAAACCGATAAAGAGGAATTATTTCTTTCACATTCAATTGTAACAAGTGTCTAACTTTGGTTGCCCAAGGTTTTTTAGAGGGACAGCTGGAATCTTTACATGGTTAACATTTCCTGGGGAGTTGGGGAGGGGTTATTTGAGGAAATCAGGTACCATATACCAACGATATATGGCATCATCATTACCACTAAAAGGAAAGTATAACCTATGCTATTTTTATGCATTAGCCATATTCATATGTTAAATCCCTACGAATCTCTTGAAAACAAACCAACGTGTGCTATTTTTCACTTTCATGAATTACAGTATTTAAAGATTTTATTTATTTATTTATTTATTTGAGAGACAGAGAGAGGGAAAGAGACAGCATGAGAGGGGAGAGGTCAGAGGGAGAAGTAGACTCCCTGCCAAGCAGGGAGCCCGATGTGATACTCGATCCTGGGACTCCAAGATCATGACCTGAGCCGAAGGCAGTCGCTTAACCAACTGAGCCACCCAAGTGCCCCTGAATTAGTATTTAATTAGGGTTTAAGTGACTCTAATTAATAAACTCACCAATAACTAATAAACTTACTTCAAGAGGACTGGGTTGGGGAGGAGTATCTAGTGCCATATAATATGTATTATGTCATGTTCTAAACAAAAATTAAGCCCTTTAATAAAAGATCAAATTATACTTGTATGAATAATCATTTCACATACATAATTGTTGCCTTGTCTTTTCTAATGACGATTATTCAAAAAAATTAGTACAGGAAGAGAGACTAAGCATTACCTTTCCCTGAGAGAAGCTCGATTTAACACAGGGCTTGGAGAATGCTTTGGCATCGTTGAGGGTGCTGAATGGACAAGTAAGGTCCTTGCTGAATGCTGGGGCTTGCTACATGACCGTGAGCTTAAGTACTCATCACACCTTTCCAAAGACTCATCAAAGTCTCTCCCATGGGGTGTCCTGATAACCTGTTTAAAAAATATTTGTATACACACAATAAATGTGGTAATATTATACATACACACAACCTGAGAACATTTTTAAGAGTTAAAAAAAAAGGATAATGCCATAGCTGTACTTGAAGGTAAATTTCAGAATGTAGCAGTCATCATTATCATTGTAAGATTAAATACTGAATATACCTGGATTGTTCATTCTACATGTCTAAAATTTATAAAACCTTATCAATTCCAAGGCCTTTGAGTAGTAGTGGGGCAAAGGTAGGGGTGTACGTATAAAACAAGGACAATACACAGAAACTAATTATAGCCCAGTTTAGCTATGAGGTCAATCAGAACAGAATTCCACCCTAATACTCATACATTGATTCATTTGTTCTGGGGACAAATGAATAAATCAGGACAGAAAAATTAATTCCTACCCTTACTATGTGGAACTTCGATTCTAGTAAAATTTACTTTCTACTAAGAATGTAGTTTTAAAAACACACATATACCAAGATAAATAAGTAACATATATAGTATGCCTAAGGATGGTAAGTAGCATGAGAAGAAAATAAAGCAGGGAAGGGGATAAGAAGGGCTGAAGGGTGGTGTGGGAGGGGTATAGAAGGAAGGAGTTGCAATTTTAAATAGGATAATCAATGGGGACCTCACAGAGAAAGAGAATGTCTTAGTAAAGATCTAAGGAGTAAAGGCCTGAAGACCTTAGTAAAGAACACAAGACCTAAGTCATGGGGACATCTATAGGAAGATCATTCCGAAAGAGAAAAAAAAAAAAATGTAAAGACCCTGTGAGGTGGGGTGGAGAGCATGGCCTGGTATATTAGAAATAGCAAAGAAACCAACAAGACTGAACTCAATAGTAGGCAGTGAAGTTAAAAAGGTAGATTTAAAGGATTTAGGCTTCTATGCTGTGACTGTTTTTGTTTGTTTGTTTGTTTTTTTAAATGAGATTTCCCTGGCTACTGTGTTAAGAACTGTCTATAGAGGGGCCAAGGGCAGAGGGAGGGAAATCAGCTTGGAAATGATTACAATAAAATATGGAAAAGGATGTTGGATTGGGTCAGAGTGATAACGGAGGTGAAATGTAATCAGACTCAAAAGGTATTTGAAAGAGAGAGCCACAGGATTTGCTGATGGACTGGATGTCAAAGATAACACCAGTCTTTCAGCCTAATCAACCTGAAGAGTTGAGTTTGTATGATTTAGTTATACCCTTCCAACCGGAAGGATGGAAGGATGTTAGGAGTCTGTCTCTTGGACATGTTGAGCTTCACATATTAATTTATTAATCACACAACACAGTAGAGTAGAATTCAGGAGAAGAGTCCAGGATAAAAATACAAATCGTATTTAAAGACAGGGAACTGCATGGTATCACCAAGGAAGAGAGCATAAATAGAAAGAAGAAAACATCTGAAGACAGAGTCCTAGGAATACTCAGAGGCTGGGAAGGTAAGAAGGAAACATGAGACTAAGGAGTGACCAGGGAAGAAGGGGAAGAAACAGGAGAATGTGTTGTCAGTTGAGAGAAAGCGTTTCAAGTAAGGGGAGTAACTGAGTTAAATACCTCTGATAAATCAAATTAGAAAAGACTGCAAATAGACCTCTGTATTTTAGCAATTGGAAGGTCATCAGTAACATCAGCAAGAGTAGCACTGATGGAGTGATGGGAGTGATAATCTGGAGTTGAGTTCAAGAGAGAATGAGAGAGGGGAACTGCATTCATTTAATAAACATCTAGCCTCCAGCCACTATTTTAAGTATTGGGACAATGGCATTGAACACAACAAAGTCCCTGCCTTTATGAGTCAATGTTTTAGAAGTATTATTTTGTAAATATCTGACCTTAAAGGAGGTCAATTTGATCTTTAGAAAAGCCAACTAATCTTTCACAGACTCATTTCCCTCATATGTAAAATAGGGTTAATAATAGCTATCTTATAGATCATCTACAATTTAAAGTATTTTATAGAATGCCTAGGTATATGAATTAGTTATACAATAAATATGTCCTTTATTATTGAACTACCAGTCCGATACAACTTTTGCTTCAACACTACCACAATTTTCACTGCTTTCCAGAATTATAGCAACATATGATGAGTCAGCAGTGAGCTGAATCAAGCTTTCATCCTAGAACAAAATAGCATGTGATTCAAATGGCTCAGTTACAGTCCCAAATAACTGATCAAGAAATATATGATGTAGACTGAATAAAAAATTGAAAATTGTTCCACTGTTAGCTGTTCACAGAGATAAAGTAAAAGCACAGTGAATGTCAAAAAAAAAAAAGATCAAAGAGATCCATGGTCAACAAATGTTAAGAGTATATATAAGAGAGACAGGAAAGAAAGAAAAAGTGCTGTAATGCTGTTTCTAGAGTTATATCCAAATACAAGCTCCTTGGCTTATGCTAGAGAGATTGTGTTCTCTTTGTTAATTTCTTTTTTTAAAAGATTTTACTTATATATTTGAGAGAGAGAAAGAGAGTGTGTGTGCATGCCGTAACTCAATACTATTCAACATTTATTAAGCATATTTTATGTAAAAAGTACTGAACATGGTAGAAGACACAGATAAATACACAATATATTTTTGATAAAAATAAATATCACAGACAAAACCTCAAAGAAGTTACAATCCATGATGGCAGACATGAACAAACAAGTACTGATAAAACAAAGAGGAAGCAAATTAGAACTAAAGAGGTATATAACAAGTAACTGTGCAATGGGATCAGAGCCAGGATGTAGTCTTTGCATGGAATTAGAGTAAATATTTGTACTGTAATGTTTTATATCTACATGGAGGACTGAAATGTATAATGAGGGGGTGAGTCTTTGATAAGAATCCATTTCAAACTTTCAGTCTTAAACCTTAGCTTAAGAAACATTTCCATAGCTCTTATGAGTTTTCCATAGGTTACTTATTCACTTCAGAAATCAAATGGAATATTAATGTCTTTGGCTCATTACAGAAGAGTTCCCTTCCTGGATGATTCCTCAAGAACACTGGCTTACAGTCCAAAGACTTGGGTTCAAATCCCTGCCTGACCAGGTCATTTCCCCTCCAAGTTTTTCCTTATCTATAAACCAGGCAAAGGATCTCCCAGGTTTGCCACAAAAATGTGGTAAGACTAGTGAAAACACAAAGCAAAGGGTGTAGCTCATGAGACAGAATAATATTTATGTCCTTTGTTTATAGCAATCTTCATGTTTCAGCATAAAGGTTTTTTTTTTTTTCATTTATGGAAATTATCCTTTAAATGCTGAGACCTCAAATATGTAACAACTTCAAGATTGCAAATGTTAAAATGTATCAAGATAAAAAATTTAGTATTTTTGACCCAATCTAAAACTGTTGTAAGTAGAAAAGCTTCATATATAAAATTAATTGTAATTTCATAAATGTAATGTTGGAAATGACACACTTTTCAAACTTGTGATATATAAAGGTCTGGTTATACTATACTCATGAAATGAGATTCCTGTAAAGTTGTTTACATGATAATCTGATAAGTTAAATCATATTAATGGCCATAACATTTTATATATGTATATATTTTAAAGATTTTATTTATTTATTTGACAGAGAGACTGAGAGAGAGCACAAGTAGGAAGAGTGACAGGCAGAGGGAGAGGGAGAAGCAGGCTCTCTGCTGAGCAGGGAGCCCAATGTGGAACTCGATCCCAGGACCCTGAGATCATGACCTGAGCTGAAGGCAGAGGCTTAACCGAGTCACTCAGGCGCCCCAAAACATTTTATATTTATAAGAACTTCAAGATCCAATTAATAGAAGGAAGAATTAACTACTAAGTATAATGGGAAACAGGAAATCCACTTATCCATCAAGTATCTGTTGAAAGCTTACTTAGTGCCTTGTACTCAACAACATGCTCTAAAACTTCTCCTTTGTTGTGGGGCATAAAATTTAAGAAATAAATAAAAATAATTCTAACGGAATTAGCTGGGAAGTAGTTGAGAATAAGGAGTGCAGGAAAAAAGTTCAGTATAGGTACTGCTTTGATGATAAGAAAGTACAGTTCTCATCCAAAGAGAGAGAAGCAGGGACACCTGGTGGCACAGTCAGTTGGGCTCCAACTTTTGGATTCAGGTCATGATCTCAGGGTCATGAGATCAAGCCCCACATCAGGCTCCACACTCAGTGGGGAGCCTGCTTGGGATCCTCTCTCTCCTCCACCAGCTCCCCTCCCCGCTTGTGCTCCCTCCCAAATAAATAAATCCTAAAAAAAAAAAAGAAGAAGAAGAAGAAGACAGAAGCAGATATTGGTAACTAAGAGCAGTTTCTCTTAGTTTCTCTTTCTTTGCCAAGAAAATTCCTTAGTGAATCCTATTTCAAGTAAGTAATCAATTCCTATCTTATCTAGTTTAAAAATCCATACGCTCAACTATCTGGTTTGGTTTTAGAAAGATGTACTTCCTTTACACTGGAGGATTTAGAAGAAATTCTAAAATAATGCAATGAAAGTGATAAGTCATTCCTTAAATCAATCCTTGTATGTGTGTGTGTGTGTGTCCCTTCTTAGACCACTGTTCTATGCATTTATATAAATAACTTGTTTCATCCCCACAACAGTCTTATGGGGTAGATATTTTAATCCTCTGTACTTCATAGCAGAGGAAACTGAAGCAAAGTAGAATAGCTACCAAGTAAGGGGGTCTTAGGCCAGTGACATATGAGAGACCTACGGCAGATCTCCCAAGTGGAAAACTCCCAGAGCCCAAGCCCCTCAGGATGCCTAAAAGGAGGGTCTCACAGAAGATGGTCTCACAATCTGATTTACTAACAACCCAAAATATAGAGCTCAGGAACAAACTGTCCTCCAAAAGAAAAAAGACATCTCCAATTAATTTTATGATGCAATCATAATAAAGCTACCAAATCACTAATAGATAGCAGAAGGGTAATTATAGAGCACCCTCACTAGAAACCATCTATGGACAAAATGTTAAATAAAATATTAAAAAATTAAATTTAGTAA